CCCCCCCCCCCATTTCTGTCCACATTGCCCCCATTGCGTTGTTCTCACCAACAACGAAGTGAGGACATCCCAATGCACTTCCCAACACAGAAGACATGCAGGACAATGATAGACCCCTTGTAATGGAACGAAATGCAAGAGAGGTCACGCATATATATACCCTTTCCCCCCAAAAAAACTCTGCGTTGGGCCCCAGTTTGTAAGGTTTGTTTTCATAAAAAACAAAATTAATATGAGAATTTCGTTTTTGTTTTTTGATATTTTAACATGACGCAGGCATCTCTTGGACGTGCATACCGTCTGCGGTCTGGAACGAATCGTCCGCTAAAAGGACTCCGGGGAACGACCCTCCAAATTCGGTCAGGGAAAAAATAAAAAACAAAAAATGGCAAAATCAAATCAACAGAGAGGCACAGGGAAAGGTGGGTGGAGTCATGTCATCCACAACCGCTATTTAGCATTGCCCCCAGATAATGGTGCCCTCCTTCATAGCAACCGAATGTGGCATCACGCACCCTGCCTTGGCACAACGGAGAGAGTAGGGATCGAGGTCGTCGTTCGACAGTCACTTCGACCCGGAGTCGTTGTCTGCCCACCCATCACCCGCCTGCATGGATGATGAAAACCACACTGCCATGACCGCAACGAGTGCTTTCAAAACAACATTTCCCTCATGCATGGCACCCGCCACAGCTCAGATCAGGACAACCGCATCCCCTATCTTCGTCAACATCATCGGCGCTCCCTCGCACATCACATATGTCAGCGTCCCGATGCTTTTTCAAGGCCCTTGCATAAAGTCCGCGCCAAATCCTCCATCACCGTCTTTGTTCCCGACGAAGACGCAACTGCGTCCCCACGCACACTCCCAAATGATGTCCTACGTGATTTAGCACTGGTGTCTAACGTGTCCATCGCACCGACAGCAGATGCTCCATTACCCGACTGGGATGATCCACTTCCACCCCCTCCTTGCCCCGATGCACTCCCTCCCCCACCTTGCCATGATCCACTCCCCCCCCCACCTTGCCCCGATCCACTCCCTTTGGCAACTTGCCCTAGTCCGTTCCCTCCATCGCCTTCCGCCGATCCGCTATCCCCACCACCTTCCGCTGACCCGGTTCCTCCACCACCGTCCTCGGATCGGGTACCACCCAAGTCCTCGGACGCTAGAGTGGTGTCACACGTGGACGATCTCTTCAAGCGCCACCACTCCATCACATCCCAAAGACCTTGCTCGAACGTCGTACATACCCCCTGCTCTCCTCGCTGCTTTGTCATCATGTTGAAGTAACCCGACTGCCCTGATGTGTAGCACTTGTCCCCGATCCGGCTGACGATGTCCGTCATTTTCGTCCACTTTTTTCTATAGTCCTCCTCCGTCTTGTTGTGCTCCTCATCTCTCAACCAATCTACTATCCACATGCACCTGTTCGCCCTCATCATGTGTCAATGGATGCCGTTGGCATCAGCCATAAGAGCGTAATTTTTTTTGCTTACGTTTGCCAACACTATTCGCTCCTCCAACGTCCATGGATTGTGCTTTTTTCCTCCCTCAGGATGAGATGCCCTCCTCGGACGTTGGGACCTTCCCCCCATTGCCATGTTCGCCGTGGAAGCATCGACACCGCCACGCATACCACAACCATCGCCAACGGCATCTCCCGCACTCCTTTTGCCTGTCACACTCTCGGAAGCCCCTCCTAAATGGGCGACCGTAGAACATGCGCCTGGTTTGAGGCCTGCGTGCACTGTCGTCGTCTCATCACACCCTCCCTCCCCCCGAAGGGTGTTCTTCCGTTGCCGTCGACCGTTCTGCAAGTAGGAAACCCGATCCCCCACTCTGCTGACTGGGTATGCATGAATCCCCCTTGCAATGCACGTGCACTGGGCGAACCTTGTGTATGTTCCCCCCCAACCGGTGACAGGTAACAGCCCGACGGCGCTTGTGATTGAACATCCCCTGGATCGGCTCCACCCTGCGAAAATCGACGTGGCCCGGAAGGAAAGGATGGCACGTGCGATCCGTAGCCCATTTGATGAACATTTTGGGAGTTCCTGGCGATTCATGCACAGGACGGATCGTCGACGCATTCCGTCCCTCCCCATGCAATGGACTGCACTTGCACAGGCGGGTAAACACAAATGGAACAGTCCAGTGGTGTTCCTGGATGCTGACCATGCCGCATCACTACAAGCAATGTCGTCGAAAATTTTGTGAACAAACTATGGAAGTTCATAATACAAACACCCAAAAAACAAACAGGCAAAAAAAACCGAAAAAAAAAAACTCAAAAAGCACTATAAAACCCTATTTGGAGTAGCTTTTGGAGTTCGCCAAAACTTTTCCCGAATTCGGTGTTTTTGCCAACTTTTTTGTTATTGGTCCAAATACGTTGAAACTGAATACAGATATACCCTAAAGGACATACATGTCAGGCAAAAAAACGAAAAAAAAATAAAATGAAAATTCAGGGAAATTGACAGTTTCGGTGAAAGATTCGTCGAAAATGACACTACGTATTAACCACGAGTGGTCGACCGCCTTCCGCTCCCCCTCCCAGATGATCACCTTGAGTTGGAATAGTAGGTGATCTGTACGACCACTGTTGATCGCATCCGAACCCGTCATTGTTGAACGTCGTCTGTGCCCATTGCCAAGGCTGACCATGCTGACCGCCCCCAGATCAGTCCGTCTGCGTGGCGCCGATGTCCTCAACCGCGAAGTGTTCCGCATCCATGCCGCCTTCATACTTCCCCATGATCTCGGACGTGAATCGTCGTCCGTCCATGCTCACCCTGAAAAGGTCCCTCAAGGCTCACTGCATTCTCTCTCCCTCTCAAAATCGGGATCTTGTCAGTAGAATGACTTCCAATGATATGGCGACGCAGATGATGGCTATGGCCACCAAACACACGAGCATGTAGACGAGGATGACGAAGCCGGTGGTGGTGTCGACGACCGGTGAGGGTCGACTACCACCATTGGAGCGTTATCTGGAGAGCACCTCCTGCAATTGCACAATACACACCGCCTCGCCGGGAATGCCTCCCCTGAGGTCGCGATAAGAATGCCACGTTGGTTGCCGTAAATGGTGTAAGGAGACCGGCCAATGCTTTGATAAGCACGATCTACGACAAACAATGGTGGATGTGGTTGATGTGTCTGGAACAGTGTTGTAACCGGGTTTTGCAACGCCAGGAGCATGATCGTTGGACAACTCGCTTTGAACAAGCTCAAAGTTACGAGCTTGCACGAAGGTGGCGGTTGAACGGTCAATCGACGATGGAAGAAAAGAGAGCTTCCGCCAGCCTCTCCTCCCATCAACCACCCCGCATGCGCATGGCCCTTGCGTCCACAACTGCCCGTTCACTGCGTTGGCGGCCCACCCTCAGCCACGTGGCCATGGAGCCCACAAAGGAGCCTTGAACGAAGCAGGGTGGCAATGGCACGCATAGCACTCGTCGAGGGAGGTGGTGTACGAAGACGGGCTGGCAGGACATGCACACAAATCTGCATGCAACTTTGCTCGCACGTGTAGTTTGCTTTTAGTGTGCATGATGCCACCGCACAGGTTTACGCAACGCACGAGAACTTGAAGAAGAATCCGGAATTTGAATTCGAATTCGAAAATGTGGCGGGCCAAGCTATCCCTATGTTCGGTGTCTTTGGGGGGTACCCGTTATTGGGCGACAACACCGTGTCTGTAGCCCTGTCTAGTGGACCAGGGAACGACTTCACGCGGACAATGGATGGCCGGTGAGTTAGCGAGGAGTTTCCAACCATGGACATACCCCCTCCCCCCCTTTACTCTCTGGAAAGGGCACAAAAATATGGCGGAAACACTTCCACAGACACTTTTCGGACCGGAAAACAATGTGAAAACAAAAAATGTGGTTTTTCCACAAACCGTTTTCCAGGCTGTGGGGTCCCGAAAAACCTCCCCGTCGTCCGAAAATTGGCTTTTCGGAGGGTCTGGTTTGTCCGATGGAGTCCTAGATAAGCTTTTCCACGCCGGTTTTTCCCTGTGGGGTCCAGGCCTTACCTGTTCTCTCCCTCTCTCTGCGTCTCTCTCTCTCTCTCTCTCTCTCTCTCTCTCTCTCTCTCTCTCTCTCTCTCTCTCTCTCTCTCTCTCTCTCTCTCTC